CACCCAAGGCCTGGATGGCTGGTGGCTCTGTTCGCTTCATGGGCGGCAGGGCATCGTCCCAGGGAACCGCCTCAAGATCCTGGTGGGCATGTATGACAAGAAGCATCTGCCAGGACCCGTCCAGGGGCAGAACCAGTCTTTGCCGCTCCACCAGCCGCCGCCGCAAGCGTTGCCCCCGCAGCCGGCAGGGCCGACAACTCTGGCTTATCCCCACCAAGGAGGCTACACGCCGCTATCACCTGCTTCTCAGTACACCTCTATGCACCCCTCTTATCTTCCCCAAGAGGACAACGTCTATCTAGTGCCAGCGTTGACCAAGGCCCAGGCGGCCAACCTCCACCAGGGCTCCTTGCCCGCAAGCCCCTTCCAGTCGCCGCCAGGAAAACAGGCATCCCCTTACCCAAAACAGAGCCCCCCACAAGGCCAGGATGTCTACCAGGTGCCAGCTGGACCGGGCAGCCCACCTCAGGACGTTTACCAGGTGCCCCCGGCTCCTGCTGGGTTGGGGCAAGAGATCTACCAGGTGCCTCCTTCTCTGGATGGACGGGGCTGGGAGACCCCAAAGACTCAAGGGAAGGTAGGTACACCAAGTGCCGGGAACTGACCATCGCAACTTCTTTTGTTGTTGTTGTTCATAGAGTTGGAAGAGACCCCAAGGGACATCCTTTCCAACCCCCTGCAATGCAGGAATACACCATCTAAGTACTCCCTGTGACAGATGGCCATCCAGCTTCTGTTTAAAAACCTCCGAAGGAGGAGACTAGCCCATAATTTGAGGCAGCATAATCCATTGTCAAACAGCACTTATGATGGGGACGTTCTTCCTACTAATGTTGAAATGGAATCTCTTTTCCTGTAGCTTGAATCCATTGCTCCATGTCCCCGTCTCTGGAGCAGCAGAAAATAAGTATGCTCCATCTTCAATATGGCATCCCTTCAAACGGGACTATCATATCACCCCTTGACCTCTGCTTCACCAGGTGAAACATACGCAGATTCCTAAACCACTCAGCATAGGTTTGGCTTATTGGTTTCCAAACCTTTCACCATTTTGGCCGCCCTGCTCTGAACACATTCCAGCTTGTCCACATGGTACCATGTTACTGGATTTGCTGTATGGCCAACACAGCTACCCCTGGATGTTGTTTCATGAATATTCGTTATACAGCTTCTAATTATATCCTGGAAATATGCTAATAGCAGTTAACAGAGATGAAAGAAGACTTGATCAGCCCCATTTCTGCAAGGAGTATACATGAAGTGTAAACCCCCACCAACCCACCCTTTATCTTTATCTATCTCTCATATGCACACATATACTTTCTCCCTTAGTCTCACTCCTTTGGAATTGCAAAGAGTGATAAGGTCAAAAATTAATTTTGAGAGATAGAGTAGATCAAGGCAGAAAGATCTGACTGTAAACACAAACAGCCTGCTTTTTTGTTTTGTTTTGTTTGATGGACTGAAAATTAATCTGAAAACAATTAACCTTAATTGCTTAGTTTGTACCTACCTTCTAATGAAGCCCACATTTCTGAATCTGTATTATGGTCGTATAAAGCAGCACAAGATGAGTCTTATCTGGAATTCCAAAATCTGAAATACTCCAAAATCCAAAATTGTCCACATGAGTGGCTTAGATAAGTGACACCTATACTGGTCAATGACCGAATAAATTGAATTGAATTGAGGTCAGACACCTTTCCTTTCTGATGGTTCAATGAACACAAATTTTGCTTCATGCACAACATTAATAAAAAATACAAGTTGATTCTCCCTTATCTGGAATTCTGAAATCCGAAATACTAAAAAAACCTGGTCTGATGGTTCAGTGTGCACAAACATCGTTTCATGCAAAAAATTATTTAAATTATTGTGTATGCAATTACCTTCAGGCTATGGGTATAAGGTCTATTTGAAATGTAAATTAATATTATGTTTAGACCTGGGTTCCATCCCCAAGGTATTTCATTAAGTATATGCAAATATTCCAAAATCTGAAATCCAAAACACTTCTGGTCCCAAGTATTTTGGAATAAGGGAGACTCAATGTATAATATACTTATACTTTTAAAAAATGTGGTTTGAAGAGCAGTTTCTTCATTAGCAATTTAAACTATGATTTAAACTGAATCTTTCAGTCATTGGGGCTTTTTTAATTTGGTGGCTGAGGATTTCCACAGCAGCGGAGGAGTAAATCCACTCTGGCTATTATTCTAAACTTTAAAGGAGCTGTCCAGGGTCCTGAAAGCCTTTTAAACAAAATTACAAGTCTTAAGTGCAGTCGTACCTAAATAATAATTAAAAGGACAAATAAATAGGTCCAAGAGCAAATCTAACTCTCCCTAGAAGCCAAAATGACTAAATCGAGGCTATTGTACTTTGGATATATCATGACATGACACAACTTCTTAAAAAAAGACAATAATGCTCAGCAAAATGGAAGGAAGGAGGAAAAGAAGACTGCATTACAGGTGGATTCACACTTTCAAGGAAACCACAGCTTCCCTGAGTTTGCAAGATCTGGTGTTGTTGTGTGCCCTCAAGTTGTTTCTGATTTATAGCACCCTAAGCACCCTATCATGGGGTTTTCTGGGGCTGAGAGAGTGTGACTCACCCAAGGTGGGTTTCAGTGGCTGAGCAGGGAATTGAACCCTGGTCTTCAGAGTCATGGTCCAATTCTCAA